TGCGCCTGGATGAGTCCCCCCACCATGGAGCTATCTTTGCGCTGTTGTGGGTCAGGTGGGTCATCGCCAGCACGTCTGGATTCGGAGACCGGCCGCTTGGTGGAAAGCGAGAAGCTACCAGAAAGGGAGCCCCTTCTGGCAGATGGCGTTTCAAAAGCATGGCTTTTCATGGCAGCAATGTACCTTGTGCCGTCCGTGGCCTGGGTTGGTGACGTTATTTATATGTACTTGGTGGATGGCATTCACGATCCTGCTGAGAAGTGGCACTTCAATCTTCCAGGTTTGGGGGAGACTGTGCCGCGCGCCGTGTGCATGGGACTGCATTTCCTTTGCGGTTCTGTCATCACATTGTTGGGGGTTTGGCAGGTTCTGCCAGTTTCCACGACCCCAGCGTGGCGGTCCGTGCACCGCGTCACCGGCCGTATCTACGTCCTGTGCTCCTTGTTTTGTGCAGTTGGGGGCTTCGGCTTCATCTTTCAGCAGTGGGTCATGGCAGGGGGTTGGCCCATGACCCTCTCCTTCAGCATCTACGGGCTCATTGTGGTGTCCTTTGCGGTGCTCGCGTATTGGACCGCCAGGAACAAGGACTTCGCCGCGCACAGGCGCTGGGCTATTCGGTCCTTCTCCATGGGCATCGCCTCCTTCCTGTACCGGGTCTTCCTGTTGTTGGGGGTAAAGCTGCGGCTGAGCCACCAGGATGCGACGTCAGATGACCCTCTGCCAGATGGTACCACCAGGTTCTTCAGGGACGACCCGTACAATCAGGTGATCGTATGGGGCTACTTTGTTTGGACGTTGATGTTTGTGGAATGGTACCTCCGTGCTCCCCCCACCAGGCTCCACGAGGTGGTCCTGCATCTGTTTTTCTTCGTGGCCGTTGCTGCGTTAGTGGCCCACACATATTTCAGCATCCAAGAGCTGATGGCCTCGTAAGGGCCCCATGGCCGCTTTCGCAGACCAGGATGACTTGAGTTCGGCTTTGACCGAGTGTCCGACCCTTGCAACTGCAAATGCCGAAGGCAAGTGCTGGTCCGCAGCTGGCATGGAAAGCAGCGTGTGCCCTAAGATGCTTGCTGAATAGGTAGCGTTTTCGACACGCTGCGCCACTGCGGAAGGCAGGCGGAAGCCGCGCATGTGAAAATGTACTCCTGCTTGTGCGCGGGGGAGGGGGGTGAGTCATTTGGTGAGGGCTCACATGCTTGACGCATGCAAGTTGTGCAGTAAAGTCAAGGGTCATTTAGAGATGCTAGCAGCTGACATATTGGCTTTGACAGCGAAGACTTTTGTTGTGCGCACGGAGCGGGCGTTTGCTCGAAATGAGTGAAGTTGAGCAAGGCAGTTTTCTCAGTTTACTATTAAAATCTTCTTTTGCACAGACCACCGCTGCAGTCATATCGCGGCCTTCTACTTGCCCCCCACCCTTTGACTCCAGAATTTGCTTAATATTCTTGTGTCGGCCTACTGCATGTTGTCCGCTGAGGACACGTCAACGGCAACCTGCTGGGGCCTTGGGGAGCACATGACCTGATTGCGATGGCTCGTGGGCACGTGGGTTATGTTCGTACTGCGCCTCGGTTGACTCGGTGAATCAAATATCATCGAATATTAAGCAAGGCCGGGGCTAGCTGGTTGAATGACCTCGGTCACGACCCGTCCAAGGGGGGCCCTTGTTGGTACCCTGAGTTGCGTGGCCAAGGTCGCGGGCATCGCCGGAACCTTGGGCGCGGGCTCGTGCAAAAGGGGGTGCGGAGCAATCGGGGCAAAAGCTCCTTTTGACAGGGGGTTTGTGGGTCTTCTGGGTGTTCTGGGTGGGTGGGTCTTCTGGGTGTTCTGGGTGGGTGGGTCTTCTGGGTGGGTGGGTGGGTGGGTGGGTGGGCTGGAGGCAATTCTCAATGGAAAGTCCGCAGAATCGTGCATCGTGCCTGGCAGATCCAGGCGGCGGGGTCCTGGCCGTGGAGTGGGAGCCCAAGGCCTGGGGCTTTTGGCTGGGGATGCGTTGGCTTGGTTGTTTTTGGGCTCCGGGTGGTCGGGGCGATTGGGAGCCAGCCAGATACTTCCTTTGGAGCCGCACTTGCTTTGGGGACAATTCGACGTGGCCAAGCTTCGGGACTAAGTCGCTAGTTGTGGCACGAGCAAATTCCTCAGCCCAAACGGATGCAAATGGAGGGCGCGCTTTTCTGAGTGCCTCTCGTCGGTCTGCGGCTCGCAGGCGGGGCGGCTGGCCTCAGCATCTCTGGATGGCAGCCTGCAGCTATGGTCGCCGGAGGGCCAGTGCTTGGAAGTGCTCAGCACTCAGAGTCTTTCGTCGGCAGGTGCGACACATGAAACAGAGGAGGTGTTGGTAGCGGTAAGCGCATGCTTGAAGCTCAGGCTTGTGTGATGCAATGGAGGCTGCCATTGAAGTTCTCATCCACGCTTGTGCGATGACATAGTCCATTGAGCCGAAAGAGGCAAACGGAACATCGCCGTTCCCAAGAAGATCGTTGGTGCCGTGTGCTCCTTTCTCACTCAGGCTGGAGGGCACTGAGCGTGGCTTTGCCAGCATCGGCCCCAGGTCAGTGGCTGCATTTGTAGCGCGCGCCGTGCCGGTTGCCCTTGGAAGAGCCACCTTTCTCACAACAGAGAGGTGCTTGACCTGAAGCTGCCGATTCCCATCCTTGCTATGAGTCGTTCAAAGGGAGACCCCGACCCACCCGGTCACCCTGTGATTGGAGCCCACCTCTGCCGCGCCCAGGCTGCTTGGCCTGGGCTGCCGGAGGCTCCAGGTTAGCTACCGGCTTCCAGGACCATGGGCTGGGTATGGATAGCTTGATCCTGTTGGTTCCTCTCTGCCAGTTTTGGTGGGGCAAAAGTGAAGCGTGCCCAACTAACCTGCGCATTGCAACATCCATGCCCTTTGTGTGGGTGTGCGGCGCATGTGTTGGTTCGCTGGACGCTGGCAACCGCCAAAGTTTCTGGAGCCTTTGCCTCATCTGGAAGGACGGCGCGGTGCTGATTTGGTACCCGAGCTCTGCTCTGCCAACGGTGGTTTGCAAGGGCCACAAGAACCAGGCTGCAGATCTGGAGGGAGCTGCCAGGTATGGTTATGACATAACGAAATGTAATGCAATGCAATGTAATGTGAAGCCATATGAAATGACATGGTAGTACATGATGTTGTACGTCATGTGTGCGTGTGTATGCGTGTATGTATAGAACGCATGTATGTAGCGTAAAGTAGGAAAAGGTGAATCATTGTAATGCGCTATGTAACAGCTATGTACGTATGCATGTACTGTATGCAAAGTATAGTCTGGCGTATTGTGATGGAATGTAGTGCAATGCAATGTAATCAACACTATACAGTGTAGTGAGTGTAATGCACTGTGCTGTACTGCAATGTAATGTCATGTGTGGTGCAATGCAATGCACCGTTATGCAATGCATGCGTGCATGCATGCTATGTATCCACGTGCTTTTGCTGCATGCCTATGCATGTATGTGTGGATGCATGCATGCATGCCTATGCATGCATGTATGCAATGTATGCCACGTATGCATGTATGCATGTATGCATTTGTGCATGCTTGCAGGCATGCTTGCAGGCATGCTTGTATGGATATGCAATGCATATTATATGTTAATTCGTTTGTTTGTCGGTTTGCCCGTCCCTTTGTTTGTTTGTTTGTTTGTTTGTTTGCACCGCTTTGCGGCAGATTGTGCCTTTTCCTTTTGCGGTTGGTACGCATTCCAACGTTTGCGTAATGGATCCACCAGGGTTTGCTCATCGGGATTCGCAGGTGCGCTGTGTCGGCTGGAGGCCAAAAGGCATGCCTTGGACATTCGCTCGGGAAGGGCCGAGAGGGGCGAGGCACGGGCATAGCGCGCAGATGTATGCCACGTCATTTTATCACTCGACGCTTAATCTTTTGCGCACATTTTTTTGATTGCAGCTTTGACTGGTGCCAGTGACACGAGCAGTTGGCTTACGACTGATGGCATTCTGCACGCAGGGCTGTCCCGTGTCATGGCGACAAGCAGAGCATTTTTTCGGGCCAGCACATGACTGTAGCGCTTTAAAGTATGTGGGTGCATGTGGCCACAGCACATTCGCACCTTTGTGTGGGTGGCAGCCATTTGTTCTAGTTTTGAAGCAGGCAAGGCATGGATGAGCGGGGCAGCACTAAACCACGCTTCCAGAGTCAAGTCAGGATATGTCAGGAAAATGACCCAGAGGCGCTGACGTTACTTACAGGAGCAAAATGTCAGCACACAGAGGCTGTCACAACATCTTGTGCAGCACAGTTGCGAACAAAACGCGACCACTGGTGAGCAACCCACGTGCCGACTACTGTGACAACTTCGTGGCGAGAGTTGCAGGCCCGTTGCAAGTGTCTCCTCTTAAGCAACATCACGGGTGTTTGCAACAAAAAATGCCTTTGAGCCCTTGCGCATGTCCACACCCAACACTGAGGAAAGTCGAAATCCGGGTCCCTCCGTGAAGTCTCAGATGGCGTGAAAAGGTGCCCAGGCATCTTTAGGCGGCAATGCGGCGTGACCGTTCCGCCAGGCAAGGAGGCCGTGGCTTCCGGCTCGCTGGACGGGACTGTGAGGCCGGGGGATGACATGCGCAATCAACACGTTTCATCAGCTGCCGCCCCACGGTTGGTTCATTGTAAATGGGCATCAGTCAAGAGATTGAGTTGGTTTAGCCCTGGCTGAGTTGCAATATGCTTTCCCCGGCCTTGCATTGAGGAAGCAATTTCCTGCCCTTTCTTATCGACAGAAGCGATACTAATCTTTGTGCCCTAAGAACAGCGTCTTGAAATCTAGATCGTGGTCAACTCGATTCACCGAGTCACCGAGAGGGCCGAAACACGGATGCGTCGTAAACGGGCAGCATCTCGCTAGGTCCTTTCTCCCCTATGCGAAGCTCGGGCTCTGTTCAGCATTTTGCAACAAGCAACAAGGTCTCTCACCGTGCTATGTTGCCACAATAACGTAGTTGCATGTTAGCAGGGCACGTCAAACTGCGACTGTTTCAGATTTAGCAGGGGGTGGTGCTCGTCAAGTTTAACACTCTGACGGGCTAGTAGTTGCTGCTAAGATTCAAAACCAACATGAAGCATCAGCAGGAGAATCAAATCACGATACCTGGCCGGAATGTGTCACGATGCCAGAAGAACCACACAATGCATGATCACGGAGTTGGAGAATGGACGTTGATAGTTTGTCCTGGGGCTGGAAAAGACAATCAGTGGCGACACATTGACGCTCGCTCGTGAGGGTCAGTTGAAAGCGCCCACCAGTTGCAAGCGCCCAGGATTTGGGAGCCAAAAAAGGGCCCGGAGCCTGGAAATCAGAAAGACCGAGCGTTTGTGGATGGGCTTGCCAAGTTGTTGTCGTCGTGAATGTCGTTGGTTGTAGTTGCTTGTTGTTAGTTGTTGTGGGTTTGCTGTGGGTTGTTGTGGGTTGTTGTGACTGTTGTGATTCTTGTGGTGGTTGTTGTTGGTGATGATGATGATGATGATGATGATGATGATGATGATGATGCTGATGCTGATGCTGATGCTGATGTTGATGCTGATGCTGATGATGATGATGATGAGGATGACGATGATGATGATGATGATGATGATGATGATGATGATGATGATGATGATGATGATGATGATGATGATGATGATGATGATGATGTGGTTGTGGTTGTAGTTGTGGTTGCGGCTGCGGTTGCGTTTTTCTTCTTCTGTTTGTTTTGCTTTGTTTTGGTCGTCGTTGTTGTTGTTGTTGTTGTTCTTCTTCTTCTTCTTCTTGTTCTTCTTCTTGTTGTTCTTGTTCTTGTTCTTGTGGTTGTGGTTGTGGTTGTGGTTGTGGTTGTCATTTGTTGCTGCTGCTGCTGCTGCTGCTGCTGCTGGTGGTGGTGGTTGGTTGGTTTATGTGTGTGTGTGTGTGTGTGTCAGCCCCCTCCGCGCAAGGTTCTTTCCCAGAAAAAACAAGTAGTGCCTGGCGTTTGTTGTGCCCCTCACTTTTGGGCTTGCTGGTCTCATGCGGGCGGGCCTTTGTAGGACCTCAAGTGCTCAACCTGCAAGTCCGCTATTTGAAGCAGCCTCCCACTATTGAGCGCAGTGCTTTTGAAGCTCAGGTCCGTCCTTAGGTCCTTAGGTCCTTTCATCAACACTCGCCGCCTCGTTTTGAAGGCTGCCAAACAAACAGGAGGCTAAATGGACCATCAAGGTGTTGCTTGACTTTGATTGTCATGCCCGCCCAGCGCGTAGGTTTTAGCACGCACCGAGAAGCCAAGACGTGCTGAGGCAAGTGCCTGAAGACCTGTCAAGGTGAAGGTGGCTACGTGCCTTGGCATTTTATTTTATTTTTATTTTTGTATCGAGGCAGGGGTATGCCAAACATCAGCAAACATGGCAACAGTTGACGGATGGCGCCCCACGAGCTTTTGCCCCGGTTCCGTCAAACCATCTATATACTCCCCGCGCTAATTTAGCATGTGTTTTTGATAGGAGACCCGAGTCACTCCGAAGCAATTTCGATTACGGCTATGGTTTTCCTTGCGTTTGAAACTTGATGTGATTGACGTTGTTGCAACCAGTCATCTAATCGCATTCGGGCGCAATCGCTTCCTTACTTCCTCCAGCGCTTCCTGGCTTGCTCTATCCCAGTATTGTGGACGGGAGCGGGTCCAAGAATAGTTTTGGCAAACTCACCCCTGATGATCTCAAAGTCCCGTATGGTTTCATCAGCTTAAAAGGGAGTGCATGTGGCCCTTCCCAGGTGTACTGTCTGCTGTGGCACCCTGACGGCACCTGTCTTGCCGCTGGCAGCACAGACGGCGCGGTGCGTATCTTCAACCCGGACAGCGGTGGCTGCATGGTGCCGTGACTGAAATGGTCACAGGGTTCCAACCCTCCCTCCCCCCCCCCGGCGAAACCGCCCCCTCGCCTGGTTTCGTCCAAATAAGGAGGGTGGCGGAGAGTTGGTCGCTTACAGCCCAGCTGGCATGCGGCAGAGAAAGAAGTAGAGATGATTTTCACATGTCGAATTCACGAAAGCAAGCAAGCAAGCAAAGTATTCCCGACGCTGCAAGCACTCAGGCAGCAAAAGATCTTGGTGCGTAAATTGCTATGGGAGAGCTTGCAATCGCTTGCGGCAGAATTGCCTGGCAATTTGATTGGCTGATGTCCTTTCTGACAGCCAGCTGTCCCTCGCATCATTGAAGTAAACTTGCGACACGCACAGGCGCACACGCGCACAAGTGGCTGGCATTTGACGGGGCCGTCGCTTGGTCGCGCCTCAGGTCAAGTGTGAGGGCCACACGGGGCCAGTCGCAGCGTTAGCCTGGGCTCCAGGCAAGGCTTGCTCGATGTTGGGGCCAAAAGGAGCACCAGCAAGATACCTACGGGAGGTATGGGTTTTCAATGGAAGCCAACAGAAAAGTCCATTACGGGCTCCCCAAAGAAAGGCAAACGAAGATGTTTTCTTTGAGTAGGATGGCAGGGAGTCTTGGGGGATAGTTCTGCCCTCAGTCTTAGTGCCGAGCATTGAAGGCCTTGACGTGATTGAGCGACCGCCTGGCACAATTACATTCAAGGGTGGGTTACTGCACACTGCAGAATATGCGTTGGCAATCGGGGCATTTCCAATCGCCCTGGTTGATAGCGTGACCCGCCAGGCCATGTGAATCTCGCAGCTGGCTCCCATGATGGCACGGCCTCCGTTTGGAACTCCGCAACTGGCCACAAGGCGGGCCGAGGAACAAACCAGTTTTTGTTAGGACGCTTGTCTTTGGGGTGTGGCTGCTGGATCTAGCCATCGTCTGCATTTTAGGTCCGTCGTGCGCATGCACGGGTTGGCCTGTGTGCAACTAGGACAGTCTCCGGTTCTGTTTAAGCTGCTCGGCAAAAGCAAACAAACTCCCTCAAGACATGCCCTACCTTCCAAAACCTGCCTGAGTGCATAGGGCTCATCCATACCGTCTTATTGATTCTCCCACTCCCGGTCCCTGACTGCTTGAGCAACACTGTGGCAAGCAGGCCAGTCGCAGATTGCCAAGGGCCCTGCCAAAGGGCCCCGCCCATGAATGTCACTCCACCTGTTCTGGAGTTTCCAGCATTCACAAGGGCTTGCAACTGAAGGTTGCTGACTGCGCCACCCCAGACCGGGCGCTGGCCTCGGCTGGGGCCATTAAGGTACTGTTTCAGCTTGGATGGTTTAGAGTTGCTTCGTGTTGACTGGTAGCTGCTGGTGCAGCTGTCTGCCATGCATTTCTTTATCACTTGAACGCACCACTTGATCCATTGGCATGCTCGCTCATGGTGCCAGCCGTGGCTTCGGATCTTTTGGGTCGTGCTCGAGCTGCGCCTATCGGGCCTATCGGCTCAGGTCTTCACAATTGCCTGGAGGATGTTGGGGGGAAGAAGGAACCTGGGCCTTCCGCGCTTTTGAAGTGGTGGGGTCCATGTTCAGCGTTTGGGGCCTCAATTTGACTGACCATGCCGAACAGTGTGCTGAGTAGCTTGCAGCTCATTTCCGCATATCTCTGCCGCAGTTTTGCCTACACATTGTGCTTCTTAACCTTAGGCCATGACAGTTGGCAGCCCAGCAAAAGCTGCTGATATGGAGCCTCGGTGGCTGCATTGCTCCCTATCTGACAGTGGCAAGCCACTTGCGAACAACTATCTACTTGTTTTCGCCACCCACGGCCGTTGCTTTCATGCAGGGCTTTCAATGGTCTTGCAAGGACCCAACTGCAACGCCCCCGCCTAGCCACTGGCTCTGCTGATGGCAGCATCTGCATCTTTGACACCACTGCTGGAGTCTGACACTTGCTTGCAGGGTAGGCCGCAACAAACTGGGTGACTTTTGCGGTGTTTGATGTGTGTTTGTGTGTTTGCCTTTCTTGGGGTTCATTAAGCTGGTGCCGTCACGGAAAGCTGGTTGGGTGCTTGTAGTTGTTTGGGCAAGCTGCCATGCTGACTTGCGGCCGAGGCATGGCAAAGTTCCAAGCCCACTCGGGGGCAGTGCCACTTGGCTGCTGGGGGGGCCAGGGACTCCAAGGCGTAATGGGGAAGTGGAGGTGTCATGTTTTGATGGCCATCCAAGCCCAGGTCGGACCTGCCTTCTAGCGGTTGGCTTTGTTTGCAAGATTCTCAACGTTTCGTTGCTCCATGAGCGTAGCCTGCGTGTCTGGGCCATCTGAGGCTTTCCCTCGCCTGGGGCTCGGAGTCTTTGGCCTCCGCTGGGCAGGAGCCTGCCAAGGGGGGGAGGTCCGCAAGTTGTCCGACACACTTGGACTTCTCGAAACGCAATCTCTTTTGGAAGCTGCAAAAGCTATCTCTGCTTCAAGTTTACGGTGCTCCTTGTCAAAAGTAGCAGGTTGTAGCATTGAGCACGTTGCATGCAACGAGGAAGGCATATGTCAAGTTGTTGGCTTGCTGTCAGCGGCTTTTGACAGTGGGCAAAGACGGTTGAATTCTTGCAACGGCGAGTCGGAGGTTTCTTGACGTTCTTTCCGTGTTTCATGTTGTTTCCTTGGCAGGTCCCGGATAGCTGTTTCCAGAAAGGGTCTATGAAGTGAACCTGGCTGACAGTGATAGTTGGCAAAAAAGTCATGGTGCGTGGCATTTGCTCTTTCAGTCTTTCCTTCCTTCCTTCCTTCCTTCCTTCCTTTCTTCCCCTTTCCTTTCCTTTCCTTTCTTTTCCTTTTCTTTTTGTCTTCTTTCTCTTTCTATCTTTATTTGTTTTCTTTCTTTCCTTCGTTTCTTCTTTCCAATCTATTTTTCCGGCTCACTTTCTTGCTTTGACAGCCTCTAGAGGTAGCACGGTAGCCAGCCGATTTACGTGCTTTCAACTTGATGCAAGTCCGTGCCCTGAAGCAAATGCCATGCTTTTCTTGCTGGTTAGCTGGGCAGGGAATGAGTTGGAATGACCCCGAGAAAAACCATCACCTGTGGTTTGCTTTAAGGGAATGTTGCTTCTTTGAGTTTGGTCTGGGGGTTGAGTGGGGGAAGGTTCAGACACGTGTTCCGCTGAGCGTCACTCCTGACACGTCCAAAGAAACCATAGTGCGAAGGGGCACACAACCGTACGTAAATAGAGGGGCCCTGAAATCAAGGTGAAAAAGGGTACCCCGAAAAGCACAGAAGCCCACATCAACCAAGCACAGCCACCTCTCAAGAGCAGCCGGCCGGGAGCCACACGTGGCATCCAGGACGGCACGGTGCGCATTTGGGAGGCAAGGGCCAGCTGCACGACGGGGGTGATGGCAGACCTCTCTCGGTTCCCTACCCAGCACTGTATCTGACATCAGCACGGCCACTTTCAAAAGCTGGAAACCCGCCTGAGAATTAGCCCTTCTCTCCTGTTCGCCGAGACTTGTCACAAGCACGATTGGACGCAGCTGGCTGCAGTTCGGTTTTCAGGTTCAGCCAATTTTGTGTGCACGGTCCGTTGGATATTCAAATCAAGTTCTCAGTTTCTAGATGGCGGTTGAAAGGGCCAAGGAGCTTTGTTTGTTTGCCTTTAAAGAGGGAGTAAGAAGGGAGCTCTGCAAGGACGCGGTAGGTTTGGACCACCACACTGGCGTTCACGCTGGCCACTTTCGCCCGCGTGCAGCGTGCAGCGTGCAGCGTGCCGGGGGGGGGGGGTGCCACTGCCAGGCGCGCACGGCCACGTGCCTGGCAGTGCATGTGGGCCACCTGGGCGCCGTGCTGTGCGTGCGCTGGGCGCCTGAGGGCCCAGGCCTGGGCCTGGCTCCACAGTTTTGAATCGCGAAATGGAGCGGTCAGGTGGCAATCGTTCTTCCTTGTCCTTATTTCCGTGCCGTTGCCCCGTTCTGGTGGTGGACATGAGGTTCGTTCATTGTTTTTCAAAAGGTCGCGTCATGCAAGCAGGGAGCGCAATGCCCCGAAGTGCCCAAAGACACGCAAATCCGCCAACGTGTGTGCCAGGCCTCGCCTCCGCGTCAGAGGATGGGACGGTCAAGATCTGGCCGGCGTGACAAAAGGGCTGATGCTTTCTGTTGGGTTTGGGCGCCCTGGAGTTCCTGATGAGATGCGCTTTTTTGCAGTTGGCTCACAGCCCAGTGGAAGGCAAGCAAGCAACAGGGAAGAAGCATCGCAGTGATTTTGCAAACCCGAGACCAGGACGTCGGACACAAGCAGATCCCATATGCAGTTGGTCAGTTTGTTTTGTGAATCAGAGTTAGTTTAAGTCCTGCTCGACTCCACAGTTGCCATGCAACTTGACATTTGCTTGGCGAGTGGGAGCTCTACCTCTTTGACACTCTCGCCGGAGGCGCTTGTGAGTGAACTGAAGCTTGCCGCGCAGCAAGGTTTGGGGCGCCGGTTCTTGGCTCTTACCGCGCATGGCCGGCAGCTCGACTTGGCCTGGTCTTTGAGCCAGGCAGGCTTGCAAGATGGAGACTCCGTTCTTGCGATAGCGCAGCCTCCCCAGCTCGCAGCGACCTTGGGGGCGTTCGCCCTTCACGTGAAAGGAGGAGGCGCAGTAAGCTGGGGCAGCCCCAATCACGGAGGAGACAGCAGGCCGGTGCAAGAACAGCTCAGGCATGTTCAGAGGATTAAATCCTCTGACTTTGCCTTTGCAGCAATTCTTGGCGATGGGTCGGTGGTGAGCTGGGGGGATCCACATTCTGGAGGTGACTGTGGGCAGGCCCAGGACCGACTGCGGCAGGTTGAGCATGTCCAAGCGACACAGAGAGCCTTCGCCGCCATCCTGCAGGATGGGACCGTGGCGACCTGGGGGAGTCCATCCTTCGGCGGGGACAGCGGGCAGGTGCAGAGCCAGCTGGTTTCAGTGCGGCACGTGCAGGCAACGCAAAAGGCCTTTGTCGCCACCTTGGACACCGGCGCTGTGGTGACCTGGGGTCATTCAGACTATGGGGGCAACTCTGCACGTGTGCAACACCAACTCAGGCGCGCATGGCAGGTCCAAGGGACCCAACACACGTTTGCAGCTCTCTTGGAAGATGGGTATGCAGTGACTTGGCCTGAGAGGCCAAGAACCTTTCTATGGAACGCGGTGCGGCCAGACCAGCTTGCCCAAGTGCATTGCATCCAGGCAAACTACAGAGCCTTTGCTTGCATATTGGCAGATGGCGGCGTTGTGGCCTGTGGCGACTCCGGGTATGGTGGCAACTGTTCGTGTGTGCAAGACCAGCTGCGGCAGGTTCTGCAGGTTCAAGCAAGCAGCAGAGCTTTCGCAGCCATACTGGCAAGCGGCTCTGTGGTGGCTTGGGGCGATCCAGCATATGGAGGTGACACTGGTGAAGCCGTACATCAGCTCAGGCAAGTTCAGCATATCCAAGCAACCTCGGCTGCTTTTGCTGCGATCCTGGCAGACGGCACCGTGGTGACCTGGGGTGATCCAGAGGGAGGGGGTGACAGTCGTCATGTGCAAGACCAGCTTAAGCAGGTCCGGCAGATTCAGGCAACCGCCAGTGCTTTCGCCGCCATTCTGGACAATGGCAACGTGGTGTCTTGGGGAGAGGCAGATCATGGTGGTGACTCTGCGCAGGTGCAAGACCGCCTCAAGAACGTGCATCAGATTCAGGCAACTGCTGCCGCTTTCGCTGCTCTCCTTGCGGATGGCTCTGTAGTGACATGGGGCGATCCTCGTTCTGGAGGTGACTGCAGGGCAGTTCTTGGCCACCTGAACCTGCTCTAAAGGCAGCCGCCTAAGACTTGAAGACTTGAAGACTTGAGACCCGCCCTATGCAGAGTTTGTTGCCTTTGGCAGCTTGGTGCTGTGGGGGGCGCATGACGTAGTTTTTTTTTGGGCGGGTGGGTGGGTGGGTGTGGCAGGGCAGTCGATTGCCGGGTACCTGGGAGCTTTCATGAGTTGCCAGTCCGCCCATTCGTTGTGCCCTAAATCAGATTCCCTGTCGCGCCGCGCGGCGTGCTTTTAGATCTCTTGGATTCCTTGCATCCCCGCAACTCGGCTCGAGACTGCTTGGTCAATGCAGTCCTTCATGCTGCAGGCCTGCGGCAGCTGGGGGGGGGGGGCAAAGGAAAGCTGTTGTTTGGCGGGAGGAAGGGCTTGCGAACTCTTGCCAAGATGGCTCGGACTTCAACAAACATGGCCTGGCTATCCCAGGTGTCTTTGAGCCTGTGTTGACACCGCTTGAAAGGCCACTTTGACCGCTCGAAGCCCATGTGCATTAGTAGGATGCTGTGGACTTGCCTTGGTCGCTTACGCGAAGTCTTGCTGTGTCCTGGAAGCGAATGGGCCATTGATCCCAGAAGCCCAAGCTCTAAACAGTTTTCACCCGGCTGGGTTGACAGTGGCGTTCTTCTTTCGTGAACCCCTGCACCGGGAGGCTGCTTGCTGACAGCCCATCAAGGCAGGCACGGGTATGCCGTGCCTTGCGTGCGGGCCATCAAATCCAATGTCGAGAGGTTCTCCGACCTGAAAGAGCATGCGAGATAGTACTATTTTTTTTTCCTCCGTTTATCTTGTTTGCCTTTTATAGTAGCGACTGGCCCCACTTTCACAGCAATACCTACGATCGCTCGGTCTGGTTTGCATGAGGCTGCGTGAGAACCCTTGAAATTGGATATTGCAATTTCATTCTCTGGAAGCTGCTCTTAACCACACAACCTTTTGGCCAAACACGCCTACAGAGCAGCCCTGGTTTTACTGGCTTTGTTTGCTTTTGGGCCATTTCGTGTCACCGGTATTCAACATCAATTAACAAAATCATTCACCAGCTCACTTCAGATTTCCAAAAAACAACACTGTGCTATAAACCGAGCAAACAAGGTGCTCGCGATCACGCCCACCCCTATTTTTGCCCATTCCCGTCTGCCCTGAGTTAAAGGTGAAACTTGGCCAAGTAAGAGAAGAATGGCTGCAGGATGTTGGTACGTCCCAAGTTGCACATCGCAAACAGCATGATAGATCAGTGCACGTGAGTCGAATGCCAGCAGTAGCCAACAATGTCAGTGCACACAAAGACGGAAAGCTTGATTCATGCAGTCGGCTGCCCCAGGCGGATCGCCAGCCATGGGCGATCACAAGCTCCACATAGCGCGCGTTGCCGTGCACCTCTGCACCGAGCTTGCAGGGAACATGGAGGAGAGCGGGTCACGTGCAGGTCTCGGTGTCTCAGTTTTGAGTATCTCAGGACCCTGGCTCGGATGCGGGACCCCCTCAGGAAAGTTCGGACCTCTGTTTTTGAAGTCCCATGTGAAAGGTGAACGAGTGGCATGGCCTGTTTGAGCATATTGGCCTTTGATTGGTGGCTTCCTGGACCTACTTATATTAACCGCTGCGGAGCTTTCCAACAACGAAGCAACTTTTGGCCACTATTTGAAGACGAAACAGCAGCCACGCCACGGTCAATGCACCAGGTTGAATGAGGCCCTCTCATCCTGGACTTGCGAAAAACCAGAGTTCTCACCATTGTTCATAGGCAAGAACCAGGCTTGCTGCTTGGTGCCTGTAAGCCAGCCGTGATTCTGGCAACCCCTCAGCCCCGCCTCAAGGACGTCAATGCAGCGCTGAAACCGGTCCAGGGCCTGCTGGCCGATGGCAAAGGCATGGGGACCTCGGGGAGGGCGTCGCAGGCGACATGAACGGATTCCCACGTCCGATTTGTCATGGCTGCTCTTTGCGAGTTGTGCCGACCCATTTTGAAATGTTTGTGTTGCGCCTGTTCAGCCGGGGCCGGCCCATCAGGCGACGCGCTGCTTATGGCGCTGCAGACTCTGGGCGTGGCAGCTCGGCGGCGCATCGAAGCCGCGCGCCTTGGCCGATGGGGTGCTGCGGGCTTTGGATACTGAAGGGTCTGGATGTTGGTTTCAGGTAGGTATTCTGAAAGGTATGTGTCCTGTCCGTGCGCTCATCACGGCCGGAGCAACGGTATTGTGGGGTACTGCCTTGGCACAGCCCTTTGGTCATGTCCCTGTTAGCTTGGCCTGTGACCAAGATCTGATGCTGCCAGGACTTGCACCAGTCTGAGGTGGTTGACCACAGATTGCAGTAGCGACAAATTCGGAGATTGGCAGTGTGGTTAGCAGATGGCCACCGGGAGTTGTTCATTTGGGCTTAACCTGTGGGGAGGCACAAAGTCGAGCAAGACTGCGCCTCTCTGCCGACATAAGCCACGGGCTTTTCAGGCTTGCACACCGCGCCTAAGCAAATCAACAAGTGAGCAGCTTGAAATTTGCGAGCTGCTTTGGGCCCAGACAAAACATGTGTTTCTCAGGTAGGCAACAATTGGAGATGTGGACAATGCTTGAGACTTGGGGGCATCCTTTGATTCTTTGAGAAGGTCAAGGTCCTTTGTCGACGGATCAAATCATCGAAGCAACCTACCATTCGCACTGAGACAACTGGAGTCTCCTTTCGCTGGTGTGCAAAAGAGAGAAAGCCAATAGGAAGCCAGAAGCATCCGCTAGGCTGCGCTTCAACCCTGTGATCCCACTGGCTGCGCTGGGCATGGGCAAGGATGCCGCAGGGCGAGCGGCCTGGGTCGCCAGAGAAGCGAGCCTTGGCGGATGTGGGTTTTTTGGCGCTTTTTAGCAGTTCCTTAAGGATCTCTGGGTTGATGTTGTTTTGCAACGGGAGACGCCCTTGTGTCAAAGCAGTAGCAGCTCTAGTTCTGCATCACACTGCCAGAGGTACCCTGGACAATCTCAACTCAGCAGAGCAGGCAACACTGGTTTGCTTGGGCTGAGGAATGGCGTTTTTCAGCCCTAGTAAAAGACACATGCTGCCTGAGTCAGCCTACTGGGGGGCACATGGTAAGAGGCGCGACCACAGGGAACACAGATGAAGAAAGCCATGGGGAACCACGCGGAACCATAAGGAATCATGAGGAACGAAAGGATTTGGCACCTGTGTTTGGGATTCACCTGGCACGAAGGTTGCAGGAGTTCATCAAGGACAGCGACTCTGTTGGGCAGGCGGGGCTTCCGATGGGTTCTTGGATTGGGAGGCAAAGCAGACAATAATTCGCCTTTTGAGGCGCTCCTGATTTTGATGCGTGTCTACAGTCGACCTTCTGACAAAGCTAAGCCACACCCATGCGTTCACAAAGGGTCTCACGCCCAGCGTTTCGCAGTGCCAGGCTCATGCCCAGCTCCTGGCTGGCTACGCGCACATTGAGCTTGCAGCGCTTCGGCAGGGACCATCCTCTCATGGCAAAGTGGTACAGGTGTGGGTGGAAGTGGACATCTAACACGGGAATTTCAGCTAGGTGATGTAGGCAGTTGGTATGCATGGTGAGTATTTTCTCGGCCAACTAGCAGATGCAAGTACACGTCACCTGTTAGAACCAGGTTTGCAAAGCCAGGGCCAAACGAAAACAACACTCCACAGAGAAGTCCAGCTGTTGTTGAGTTGCAAAGAGTCGATAAGTTACCGTTGATAAGTTGATGTTGCGCTGCCAGGGGCCGGTTGTGTCCATGGCTGAATGATTCCGGTGCAAGACGGCAAGGTGACTAAGGCGGTGGTGAGCAAAGTGCACTTGCAGTGCAAGGTTTGTTTTGAAGCACATGCTTTATCCTTCTCGTTGATCTGCCATGGCAAGGGTAGAGTGAGCGCAGGAATAAGCTTTCGAAACAAAACAACAATAAATACATGAAACAAGAAGCAGACAAACAGCGCCCCTTGTCCCAGCAGACGACCGCACGGCCCAGATTGCCCCTTCCCGCGGCATCGATCCCCGTGGCTTCCGCTTCCCCCCCAAACGCATGCCACGCCGCCACGCACGCCGCCCGAGGACTCCTCACGGGCTCTGAAGGCGGCGGCCGCCAGCGAGGAGTTATTCAAGGAGCAGAAGAGCAAGCCAGGGCCTTCGGATGGACGGGGTCCGGGGGGGGGGACGGGGGGCCGATGCGCGCTTGGAGGGCTGAGAGGGAGCTGGAGCGAGAGATGTGTGCGAGTGTGTCAAGCCAGGGGAGCAAGGTTGCTTTCTGAGCTTTTTAGCTGGAGGAAAGCAAAAGGGAAGAACGGGTCAAAGTTGGGAATCCAAGGTCCAACACTTTTGAGCTCATGATTTGTTGCCCTTCTGTCCGAACAGGAACCGGGCTGCGCTTGATTCAAGGAACACTTCATCGGCAAACGTCGTTTTAGGGGATGGCTGTGGGAAACCAGAAGGGAGAGAAGCAGACCGAGAAATCCCAACTTCTCGCATGGCGATCCTCACAGCTCTCTACCTTTGTGGCGCCCCTTTTCGCTTCTGCGAGGGTGTTATGCCGCATGGTCTCGTTATGTCAGCTGCAGCAGCGAATGTGCTTCTTTCACCCCAGCCTCACCGCGGTTGTTGCAGGCCACCTGCAGAACTGAAGAGACTCGTCATCAGCAAATTTGGATGACTTGAAGACCACCCCAGATGGCAACCACCCATGCCCTGCTGAAAGATCATGCAAAGTGGATTGCAGCCCTGTCGAGTTCCCATTTGCCCATCCTGACACTGCAAGCCGTGTCCAGTCCTGATGCTGAATCGGCAGAGGGCCGATTGCTTCGTGGATGCGAAAAGTGAGACCTAGCCAGAAACGGAATGTGTATCAGCAAACATTCCCAAAAAGTGAATGCTGACTCACCAGTTGCTTACTCTCGCCACTCACCCTCCCTCCAACAATGGGGACAGAGGGGTTCCTCAAAGGGAACAAAAAAAGGGTAGTTCTCCGAAATCCTCTTGTCAGCTTCCACTGGAGGGAGAGAGCGCCCGTATCGATCGCCCCTCGGCCGAAAGCGGCGGCCTCGAGGCCCGGGGAGGCAGCGGCCCTGTGCTGCGCTGCCTGCGCCCGCCTGCTGCGGGCTATGTCTGGCGTGTCCCCGCAGTGGCCCGGCTGACGTAGCTTCCAAGTTTTTGCAATCCCTGTTGGGTTTAGAGGGAATCTATCACTGGACACAGTTTCATTTTACGGGGACTTGAGCAAATGGAGGGCAAGTTTGGGGGATGGACAGGCGAGCCAGAATCAAAACCCGGGTAGATGAAGGTTCAGCGGCAGTCCCAGCCAGAAATGGGTGCTGCCGCCTTTTAATCTCCTTGCATGATTGCGACTCAGTTCGGATTAGGCGCGCGCTTTAAACCATCCAACCATCCCTATGAACCTGGGCCTTGCTGACGAGTTTGTTTCCACGCCTCGCAGTGGTCAAACTCTGGGTGTTTGGCTCTAGTCCGATTTTCCAGCTTTCAACTACCTTTTTCTCGAGTGAGACGCTTTGAGAGACCCAAAAGGAAGGCATCAATTTGCAGGGCATCCGCCAGTTCGACACTCCGCCTTGCTTGTTTCTGTTCATGTTCTCAATGAAGAACTCAGACAACGCTGGTTTGGTCTCACTTGGGGAAGGCACCTCAGCCCTGCCTCATGTTGCGCAGGATGCCAGGGCGCGATTGGAAGACGGAGTTTTTAGTCAAGAAAGATGGCACACGACGACCCGAGATACGCAAGACATTTCTTAACGTGAAACAAAACAAGCTGAAGAGGGCGCCAACACAACTCAGCAGATGAGCGGTTCGCATTTGATCGAGCCTCGAACCTTAGTTTATGCCTTGAAGGTCAGCTTTGGTTTGAGGGTATCAGAAAAGAGCCACTAGACAAAAGGACCGCAAGTTTGAATGTCAACTTGTTTCCATTTCCCCGGGCAACCCATTTTGGGGTTTCCCAATTTTGGACCCCGCCATTTCAGGAGGCTAGGCAGGTGAGGTTTGGCTCCAGCCTCAGGCTCCAGCTGGCCGAGGAGCTCCCGGTTTCCATTGCGTTTTTCGGTGCCAAGCGGATGGAAGCGGAAGAACGAAAGATGGAGACCATCGGTGTCCTTTTTGGTTGTTTTGGTAGACAACTAGATGGCGATTCCTGGCTTACCTGGTGTTAATCATCTACCAAGGGAACCCATCTATTTCCCCTAAAAGGACACCTATGATGGAGACCGTTTCGGCCAATGGACCAAGGACGAACCACGGAGACTTTGCCCATGTGGACCAAGCAAGGACAACTAAATACATTGAACCAGGGAAACTTTGCCTATGTCGTTTTTTTTTTTTTTTTCTCTCTGGAGAGGTGTGCCCCCATCGAGACTCGAATGATTCGGCCAGGAGAAGGAGGAGAAGGTGAAGGCCGTGAAGAAGCGGCAGGAGGCCGAAGCCAAGGCAGGCATCTCCTGCGTCCGCGAGGCTTGCAGCTCGGAGTTGGATGGATTTGGAGCGCTGGTGGGGCTTTTTGGGTGCAGGTGCGAGTCAGACCCCTTCGTCTTTGCGCATAAACGGGGCAAAAAAGGAAGGCCTCTCACAGCTGAGGCTGCATTTACCACGACCTGGATGACAAGAAGCAGCTTGGCCGAACGGGGGACGGTCAGGCTGCTGAGCACCTGATGGTAAATCGTGAAGCCGTTGTGAAAAGGGCTTCGCTCGAGCTGTAGACCTCGGTTTTTGGGTCTGTTTGGTGCTTTAGCAATTTTTGAACCCCCGGTTCCTTCCATTGGCCATCCATGAAGCTACAGGGTGAAGAGAGGGCTGCTGCACCAATTGGAGTTTATCATCAAACCCGCGGCTTTGGGTTTGAGACAGCGTTACCTGGGGGTTTCTGTGCTTGATCGGCATTTGAGGTCGGAGGCGACTTGCTTGAACCTGGCCTAGCCCTCAGCTGCATTGCACAAATTTGGCATTTGGGGCAGTATGGCGGTGGGCATGTTGGCCCCATTCGGCCAAAATGCAAAGGTGAGTTCGATTAGAGCTTAGCACCAAGCTCTTTTGCTTGAAGCTCTGTTTGGCACCACATGAGCTTGAACTCTTTTGCTTGAAGCTCATGTGGCTTTTGGAACAGCGATGAGGACCCCAAGCCCCTGTGGTCTTCAGTCCGCAGTTTGACTCATACCGGATCTCCTGCCCCAGGCTCCAGCTCAGCCATGCTTCCGCAACTAAGCCACTCACCAATGAACGCACTCGCGAAAATTGAAGTGCAGCCTTGAACCTTACGGGACGCTTGCCGGTCTCAGCAAAGACACGTCCAGTGGTCTCCCGGCTCAGGTGGGGGAGCTCCTCTTGGCCAAGGACGACGTGGACGAGGCCAAGAACGCGGCGCGCGAGGCGCGAGACATCTTCCAGGACACCGCTGGCGCAGAACTTAAGCGGCGCTCGTTCCCCGTGCGGTTTGGCACTTGCGCGGCACGCGGATGTTTTCTTCCGGCTCTCAGGGCCATTGGGATTTCGTGCCGAGCACATGCCCATTTAAAGGGCATGGAGGAACGACAAGTTTTGCCGGCTTCGGGGCAGGACTTGGAGGATCCCTACGGAGAGGCAGGGCCGCAGTATTTGATAAGCATCGAGCCGCCCTCTATGAGCTGCTTACCTTTGGCACCCTTACTTATTGCCTGAGCATGCCAGAAAGTTGCCGGCAGTGCTTTTGTCAGAAGGATCTCCTTGAAAGCTCGTTTTTGTTGGCAAAGCAAATTCAGTGAGCGGCTTGTGTTTGCGGCCTACGCCTGCCAAGGCTCGAGCTCTCAATGTGATCCTCAGTGCCAACATGCCGCTGGTCGAATGGTTTTAATGCTCTCAACAACCACACCACCACACCCGTTGTCAATAGTCTGCTGGCCCCATTTGGGGGGCCCTCAAGTACTGACATGCCTGTTTTGGTGCGGCCGAATGCTGAGGCTCCATGAGGAAGATGTGGTGGACGCTCTCTTCGCCGCGAAGGATGTGATTTGGCTGCCACCGCGGCTGCAAGAAGACATGGCCCGAAAGCGGCCTTGGACTCCGGGGACCTTCCCTGGGCAAGCGGCAAGCAAAATGGAACAAGAAACACATCCTTTGTCGGGGCTTGCCCGTGTCAGGTGTGTGGATTCCAATTTATCCGCACGCGGGTTGTCTTGTGGCGCTGCTTGTCAGGTTCCGGGGTAACGACATCCTTCCCGAGGAAGAGGACAAGAAGGTGACTTGACCAAGGGCAACTCACAGCTGCTCACAACCGCAAAGAAGCCATCCGGTGAGCAGATACAGCTGTCAGCGGATGTAGCTGGTCGGAAGTTTGATTCACAATCGGCGCCCAGATTGGTCACCCTTCGGCTGACTCAAATTGAGTAGTGATCCATCTTGTTTTGCAGGGTTGCACCCTGCTGAAGGGTCATGCACTCCGGGGTATTCCCATTGAAGCCTAGAAGGAAGTTGAGATTGTCGGAACCCATGCCGCGCTTGTGCCTGACTTCTTGCAGCCACCTGGGGCCGGGATTTTGGATCATCTCGTTTGAGGCCCGAACTTGCCATCAGGTGTCCATTGATGGCTTGCGACGTCCCATCCTTAACCAAGGCCATTGCAGACAGCCTGCACGCGCAAGCGAAGGCCCAGCTTTCAGTGGTTAACCTGGCGTGATGCGCCACACATGTCATGCACACGCTTGCAGCATGAGAGATAAAGAGAGAGATACATGTATGTATGTATGTATGTATGTATGTATGTATGTATGTATGTATGCAATGTATGTATGTATGTATGTATGTATGTATGTATGTATGTATGTAATGTAATGTAATGTAATGTAATGTAATGTAATGTAATGTAATGTAATGTAATGTAATGTAATGTAATGTAATGTAATGTAATGTAATGTAATGTAATGTAATGTAATGTAATGTAATGTAATGTAATGTAATGTAATGTAATGTAATGTAATGTAATGTATGTATGTATGTATGTATGTATGTATGTATGTATGTATGTATGTATGTATGTATGTATGTATGTATGTATGTATGTATGTATGTATGTATGTATGTATGTATGTATGTATGTATGTATGTATGTATGTATGTATGTATGTATGTATGTATGTATGTATGTATGTATGTATGTATGTATGTATGTATGTATGTAATGTATGTATGTATGTATGTATGTATGTATGTATGTATGTATGTATGTATGTATGTATGTATGTATGTATGTATGTATGTATGTATGTATGTATGTATATGTATGTATGTATGTATGTATGTATGTATGTATGTATGTATGTATGTATGTATGTATGTATGTATGTATGTATGTATGTATGTATGTATGTATGTATGTATGTATGTATGTATGTATGTATGTATGTATGTATGTATGTATGTATGTATGTATGTATGTATGTATGTATGTATGTATGTATGTATGTATGTATGTATGTATGTATGTATGTGTATGTATGTATGTGTGTATGTATGTATGTATGTATGTATGTATGTATGTATGTATGTATGTATGTATGTATGTATGTATGTATGTATGTATGTATGTATGTATGTATGTATGTATGTATGTATGTATGTATGTATGTATGTATGTATGTATGTATGTATGTATGTATGTATGTATGTATGTATGTATGTATGTATGTATGTATGTATGTATGTATGTATGTATGTATGTATGTATGTATGTATGTATGTATGTATGTATGTATGTATGTATGTATGTATGTATGTATGTATGTATGTATGTAATGTATGTATGTATGTATGTATGTATGTATGTAATGTATGTATGTATGTATGTATGTATGTATGTATGTATGTATGTATGTATGTATGTATGTATGTATGTATGTATGTATGTATGTATGTATGTATGTATGTATGTATGTATGTATGTATGTATGTATGTATGTATGTATGTATGTATGTATGTATGTATGTATGTATGTATGTATGTATGCATGCATGTATGTATTAATGTAATGTAATGTATGTATATCTTTTCAAAGTTTATTTCACCTTCCTCAGGTATGTATGTATGTATGTATGTATGTATGTATGTATGTATGTATGTATTAATGTATGTATGTAATGTATGTAATGTATGTAATGTATGTATGTATGTATGTATGTATGTATGTATGTATGTATGTATGTATGTATGTATGTATGTAATGTAATGTAATGTAATGTAATGTAATGTAATGTAATGTAATGTAATGTATGTATGTATGTAATGTAATGTATGTATGTATGTATGTATGTATGTATGTATGTATGTATGTATGTATGTATGTATGTATGTATGTATGTATGTATGTATGTATGTATGTATGTATGTATGTATGTATGTATGTATGTATGTATGTATGTATGTATGTATGTATGTATGTATGTATGTATGTATGTATGTATGTATGTATGTATGTATGTATGTATGTATGTATGTATGTATGTATGTGTGTGTGTGTGTGTGTATGTATGTATGTATGTATGTATATATTTATGGCACATGCTTTCCTTGATGGGGAGGGGTACGACAATTTGGGTGATCGACTTGCTCAGATACCTGACCAAATTTCCGTCACCCATTTGGTTCCTCTCATAGGGGTCTATTTGCTTTGTGAGCCCCTTCTCCCCCCCCAAAAAAAAGAGAGGAAGTGGACTCCGTTTGGCTTCCCTTTGAACCACCCCCAAGGCTACCCCGCAAGAAGTGGACGCCCCCAGGGCCGGGCGGGCACGGGAGGGGGGGGGAAAACCGAACATCGGCCGGCCAGGTCCACCTGTCCATCGGGGAGCTGAAGGAGTGCAAGGAGACGGCGGAGGAGGCCTTGAAGTACTACGACGAGGCGGGGGTCCTTGCAGCAATAGGGGGGGGAGAGAGAGAGAGAGAGAGAGAGGGCGATACGCACACACGCACACACATCTATATATGTATGTTTGTATATGTGTTTTTGCATATACATACATACACACATATCTATATATATATAGTTGTATATATATATATATATATCAGCATATGTGTACTATACACACATAGACTCAAATACGCACGCAAGCGTACACGCGCACACACACACACACATGCACGAACATACGCACACATACACACACACACACACACGCATACGCATACATACACACACATACACGCGCACACATGCGCACATATACACACATACGCACACAGACACACATAGGCGCACATAGACATATATACACATATACACCCACACATACACATACATACATACATACATGCATGCACGCATACATACATACGTACATACGTACACACACATACATACATACATACATACATACATACGCACGCACGCACCCACCCACGCACCCACCCACCCACCCACCCACCCACCCACACACTCACACGCACACGCACACGCACACGCACACGCACACGCACACGCACACGCACACGCGCACACGCGCACACGCACACGCACACACGCACACACGCACACGCACACGCACACGCACACGCGCACACGCACACGCACACACGCACACGCACACGCGCACACGCACACGCGCACGCGCGCACGCACACACACACACACAGAGACATACACACACACACACACACACAGACACACACACACACACACACATACTCACACACACATTCACACACACGCACATACTCACAGACACATACACACCTGTACGCACGTACGGACACATACGCACACATACGCACACATACGCACACACGTAGACAAATAAACGCATACACACACACACACACACCACGCACATGCATACACATACACATGCACATGCAGACACAGACGCGCACACCCACACACACACATACATGTTCATATTGCGCATCTTAATGCACATGCGTATGCACACACATATGCATATATACATGCGTGCGTGCACATACATGCATGCATGCATGCCTGCATGCATCAAGCATACATGCCCATGCATACAGGCATACATGCGTGCAAGCAATGCATGCACACATATATACATATATATTCTTACGCACACACACATACACGCACACACACCCTTTTTGCTCCATCTCTTTGAATGGGTGGGCGGGCACACATCCCAACTTGGATGCCTTGAGCGTGCAGTGCGAAGGGAAGCGGCTAGGTCGCTGCAGAAGCTGTTGCTGGGTCGGAACTCCAGGGGAAATCTGCAGAAGTTGGCCCGCGAGGAAGGCTTTGCCCGCCGAGCTGGCCCCTGCTCAACCCCTTTGGGAAAAATGGCCAGCCCCGCCCCCTCCTTCCCCGTACAGCGGCATAATTTCGACGGAGTTTGACCCGCGGATGCGCAGGGAATCACCCGAGAATGTATCGTGTTCCCGTACGCTAGCAGGACTTTGCACACGGCTCAACACATGAGCTATGTTTGGGGGTGGAAGTGCGGGCAAACCAAGGCCCAGCAGGATTGGTGACAGTTGCTGCGTCATGACTTGACTTGGTGTCCTGGCCCGAGGCCAAGATGACGCCAAAGGACAGGGAAGCGTTTGTGAGGGCAACCTTGTGCAAGGTTGGCCTTGGACAGTTGGTATGTTTGGCTGAAGCCGTGGGAGTCAGGCCGTAACATCAACAACCCTGCTGTTCAGATGTGCAGGCATCCGCTTTCCAAGTTTTTCTTTTGGACCCCTAGAAACCTAAGCAGCAAATGAAGGAGTAGGAAGCCCTCTCCATGCACTGCAATAAGGAGTTGTGTCCAACAAGCTTTTCGTAGTCTGGTTTTGATCTTTGGCCTAGCACCAACAGACAGAAGCGCTCAGGGTAGGGATGAAAGGGGGCGGGATCTAATGGAATGGCCGTGGTCAGCAAACGGCTCAGTCGCTTGCAGGTCTCATGTTTCCCCTTTGGCTTGTCACGTTTTGCGCCAATTGGATTGATGTTTCCCTCGTGGTGATGCTTGACGGGGAAACTGGCCCCTGTGTCCAGGAGGCGGCGCATGGGAAAGGCGCCGTGCTGCAGACGCTGGCCCATGCCCTGTGTGCGGAGACCAGCCCGGATGAGGCACTGCCTCTTAGCCGCAAGGCTGGGCGGAGGAGAAGGAAGAGACTTGGCATTTTTCTCACCTCCGCAGCTCCTGATCTCGAGACATGTTGCAAATATCGGGTATGGGCCAAAATCAAACCGCCAGGCGACCGCAGGTTAGTCCTTGATTCCATTTAGGTTGTTGTTGATATTGGGGAGTGAGTTGTTGTTTGAGAAACGCATTTGTTATCCGTGGGCGTTCGAGACGCCGACTGCTCGGCCAGCTGAGGCCTCACAGCCAGAACTCCGTGGAGCTTTTCGCGGCAGCGCAGGACATCAGCGGGGAGGCCATGGCGAAGGCCGTCTTGGCCTACCAGGACTGCCAGTCTTAGCCAGTGGATCCCGGTGAAGTCATATACCTATATAATATAGTGGGTAGCCAGTCATTGTCTTTTGGTTTTTGAAGGCTGGTTCTTCTGGTTGGGAAATGGACTCACTGGGTTGGGGGGGAGGCTGGGAGAAGATGGCCCAGGGCTGCATGAAACTGATGAACTGGTTCTGGGGAGGGAGAAAGGGTTGGGAGAAACGGGAGGCGGAGTGTTGGGGGCTGCCGCAGGGCGTCAGAGTTGCTGATTTGGCCACCAGCTTTCTTTGGGAGTATTTGCGAGCTCATGTGTGTTCCTGCCTTTCAGAGTGGCGCTTAGGACACGATGTCGCGCATGAAGCAGCTGGAAGAGATCCCACAGGCATGGGAGCAGGGGAGCTTTGAGCGTCGAGTTTTGTGTTTTGGTTCCTGGAGTCGGGGCAAGACATGCTGGACCGCATGCTGAGTTGGGGAAGTTGGGGAAGTTGGGAGCCATGCCTCTCTTCATGCAAGTCTTAAACTTGATTTGGCCACGTTGTGCAGACATGTCTAGTAGAACACCTGCGGAGGGTGGCTTGAGCGAGTCAAGCATTGGCAACAAGGGTGACAAGGAGAAGGTCCAATTGTTGGTGGTTGGCAGCCGTCGGTGGATAAAGCGATTTTGACTTGTTCGCAACTTGTGAGTGTACCCATTCTGTTTTGTGGTTTCGAAGGGAAACCCACAGGAAAACCACCATTTCGGGGCGTCCCCTAAAAACATGTGTATATATATATATATACAGATATGTATATCCCTTGTGATCGTTTTTTTTCTTCTTCTTTTTTTCTGGAGAAGCCAACTTGCTCTCCAGGCCTTCACGGAGCAGTCGAACAACCAGGTGAATGAAAACTGGAACACCATTGAGGAGGGCATGGCGCCTGAGCGGCAGGAACAACTTGCTGCACGGCCTTGATGGACATGGGGGCCAAAGGGTCCTGACCCCTCTCACGAGAGTCTCCAGTCTCGTTTGTCAGATCCCTTGAGCCCTTCATGTGGTAGTTCTTGACCGATTTGTGGAATGACTGCCGGATGTTAAATGGAATTTTGAGACGCCGCTTCCTGGTTTCGACGTTGAGAATTGAGCCCTTCTAAGAGCCACATGTCAAGCTTGAGTCCCAAGATCGCATTTTGACAGAGACAGAGAGAGAGAGAGAGAGAGAGAGAGAGAGTGAGAGAGAGAGAGAGAGAGCGCGAGAGAGAGGGGGCTCATGATTTGACATTTGATGCCCCCCGTCCCATTTCAAACATTCACCAGGCAGCAGGCCAGTTCTTTTCGGCGATCTTGTATATCTGTTTGTGAAGAGCCGAGGCGATGATGCGGGAAATCCGAAACCAGGAGGGCGAGGACCAGATCGGCTCGCTGATCTACGAGATGAACCAGAAAGTTGGGCTCCTTTGCAACATTTTTTGAGACCTGCCAGTGGACAACATTCCCAGAGAAGCAATTAGCAGCACCGCCCCCCCCTCCCTGAGTGCGCTGGAGTGGCTTGTGCAGGCATGACAACAAACATCATTGACTCATTGGAGGGGAAGCTTTGCAACAATGCTGCAAGGATGCCTGCAGAACTGAGTTGTAGCATCCTGCGACCCCGCGATCTTTCTGAACAGAAGCAGCCATGCTGGCCTTGCATCACTGCGAGCATGCCCAGTCTGACTTAAGTTGCCTCAGAACCCGTGACAGCATAAATCGAAGGGCGAGTCACTGCACCCAGGGACATCCAGAAGAAGATGTCAACACCAACGAAGACTGTGTGGACAGTTGACCGGGTCACACGCAGGGCGGTCAAGAAGGAGCGGCTGCCCCCTTGCTTGAAACGATTAAGAGAAGCACAGTCAAGATTATCAGATGAGCTTTGCCCAGGCCACGTGTTATATGGGTCTGTCTTTTTTTTGGGTACCCTTTTTGTGGTTGGTGTTAAAGGGAAACCATACGGAAAACCACAATTCTTGGGGGTCGCCTGAAAAAGACACATCCAAATTGTAGGACATGTTTTGCTATGCCGTGGGATCCGTGGCTTTGCAAGCAATCAATGTGCTCCTTGCAGAGGGGGGTTGCTTCTTTCCAACTATCTTTCCAACACGCAGTGTGAACTACTGAGTTGCAAGAGGCCGATGTGCACAACAGCCCCTCCTGCCCAGCGTTCCCCCACCAAGACTTGATCAGCATGAAAACCGCTGTCAAGATGGAGCGGATGGAGTGTATCCCTTTCAGGCTGCGAGCCTTTGACTTTGCAAGGCCTCCTCTGAGATTTTGCGGCCTTAGTCAGGCCACCCGGGCGACCCTTTTTCGGTACTTCATTTGCAACTCAGGCGGGTCTCCAAGTCCCAACAACTTCAAACGTCTTTTCCACGAGGACGTTGCTTGGCAGGGTGCAAAGGGGAGTTTTCTTGGTCTGGGTCCCTCATTGCACGCCGGCCAGGACTTCTACGAGCCGAACCCGGGCACGGACATCGTGCCACAAGAGGCGGGCGAGGCCGTGGAGGCCGTGGAGGCCGAGGCCGCGGAGGAGTGAGCCGCAGCGCCGAGACGCGCAGACGCCCTGGACATGGGGACGACAGGGTGGGTTGGGGGGGGGGGGTGGTGGTGTGTTGGCGGAGTTTCGAAAACGGGGCGGCAGATTTGCTTCCATTTGTTTAAGACTATTTTTGTTTTCCCCTGTTGGTTTCAAAGTGAATCTATCACTGGACATATTCTCATATTTTCCAGGGGCAACTAACTGGACTTTGTAAGGCCATGGGCTCAGGTGGAACAGGGCAACTGTTGGGCCCGAGAGAGCATCTCGCGCTCGAGCAAGAGAGCATCTTCCCGCGGAGAGTTAGCATCTGGCAGCTCGAGAGATCCGCCTGGTGGTAGCCTTTGAGACCATTTCTGTGTTGCTGTTTTGGGTTCAGTGCTGGGATGCGTCTATGTGAATTTAGATTTACTATATATATATATATATACACATGTATATACATATGATACATATGTATATAAGTATATGTGTCAGAGCTGGGATTTGCGAGCTTCATGACAGGACCGCAGTGTTTTCGGGGGCACCCGGCGGGTCTCAGTAGTGCAGCTGTGAGAGATGCTGGCGAATGATGGAGACGAAACCGGCGCGCACGCTCGTGGGCCATGCTGGCGCGGTCAAGTGAGGATCCCTTGTTGAGGGGACTTGAAGGGACAGGGTACTTAGTAGGTTAGTAAGCCTGGTTATAAGCCGCTTACCATGGTTACAAGTCTCCTAAGTGGGCTATATCCAGGCTTGCTGGCCACCCGCAAACACACACACACAGCGAGGTTGGCCCGCACTGCAAAAGGAAGAGCATACTTGTCATAGGCCAAGACTTTTGTGCGTGTCACAAGCCATCCAGCAGAAGGGTCCCTGATTCCGAATAGCATTTACTGGCTCCGCTGGCCATCGGTCGGGACAGTTTGAACGTTTGTACCCGAGTCATTCCCAGTTGCTAACTTTTCGATTTGAGACAGTGAGTGAACTTATTTTGGGATGCCCCCCCCCCCACACCTGAGCACATTGGAGCAAGCGTGCAACTTCATCCATTGCTCTTAGCCTATTGACTTCTAAGGATGTGGAGCGGGCTGGCTGCCCCAGTGGGCGGGGGGGGGGGGATGGGACGAAGATGGCTTGAAGGTGATTGAGGAGCTTTGTCCTGGACGCCGAAGTATTGGCCCCCAAAGCAGTTGTTTTGCTTGCGAAGTCCAAGCCAGTGCCCCTGCCCACTAACTTGGTGCCTGACAGGGTCCCTGCAAGAGGAATTTGCTCAGTTGCAGGTGGCAGCTGCTTGATCGATACTCCGAGGGGAGCACTTTCTGGACTGGCGAAACGAAATCGGAGCCAACACCGGCCGGTTGAAGCCCAAAACATGCCGGACCTCGTATATTCAAAGCATGGCTTCGAGGGCATATTGGCTTTAGCCATGAAATGACACCACCTGTGGTTGATTTTGACGCTTGCTTGCGAAGTTAGACATTGTGGGCCAAGTGCCTGCCGGCACTTGGGTCCAACAACTGTGCCACCGAAGCAATGCAGCACGGGCCATATGTTTTTGCGTTTTTGCAAGAGGTCTTGGCGTTTCGGGTTTGGCTTAAAAGGTTTGCGGTAGGACGACGATGTTACCCCAGCATCCAGCATGGCAACGCCCTCTATGCCTCCTGCGGTCCAAGCCACATGCCATGCCCCGTTGCAACCCCCCACCCCCCGTCGCCCTTCACCGAACCTCCCCCCGCCGTCCCGCGTCGCACGTTCGGCTCAAGCGCGCCGAGGACCTCAGGGCCCAAGCGGAGGCCGGCCGTGGGAACGCCCAGAGGGACAGCGAAGTGGGGAAGCAAGGAGCGCCTCAACCCTCCCTCAAGGGATGTCCTCTAAGGCGCTGTGAATTGATTCTTGGGCCCAAATTCGGCTGCGTCTGTGACTTTGCAGCTCTGTCGCATGTTTGTACGCTGTGGCTTTGTCAGTGTGGGACCATGGGTTCGGCTTCGTGTACTCTTGAGCTCCATGGGCAGTGAAGAGAGGCAGCACGTCTACTTGGCCAGCCCTATGATCCAGCTGCACTAGGGTAGTAACTTCATGAAACATGCTCGGGAAATCTGTCCAGCTATTTGTGCTCATGTGCCTTCTGGGTAGCTGGTTTCTGCAGCTATACAGCTCCACCTGTTCAACAGTTTTGCCCGAAGTCTTCGCATGGGTGGTTGTGCTGGTGAGGTGATTCATGAGGCCAAACATGCCCTGACAAGTTGTTTGCAACCAGCGCGGAGGGACCTCAACTGGACCACCTGGTGCCCAGGTCGACAGCTCCAAACAGAACTCGATGCCAAGGCGTGCACGCTCTTGGTCCAATGGCCTGCTTGCTTGGGATAGTCACGCCATGTTCTCAGGATCTTTGATGACAATTTCTTTCAAAAGCAATCCAGGCCAGCAGTTTGGTTCAGAACTGAACCCGGCTGTAAGTTGTGCCGGACATCGCGATGTGGCGAGGTGACAAACAGCGTGGGTTTCGTTTCCCGTGCCAAGCCCAAATCTTGCAACAGCTCGGGCCATCTTAGGTACAATTGGATGCGTGCTGTTTAAGGGGACCCTCAAAATTGTGCTTTCACTGGGTTCCCTGTAAGACCACCTAAAAAGGGTTCCCTGAAAAGAGCAGACACACACACACACACACATGTCAACTGCACTATAAACTGATGAAACATGTTGTAAATGCTCCATGTCCAAACTCCCCTTGCGCTGCGGCCATGCAACCTTGCTCTTTCGACCGGTAGTAATGCCAAGGAAGCTCGTCAGGAGTTGCATTGCGCATATTGCGCCAAGCCTGTCTTGAACTGAATGTGCATCTTCAATGTAGCACCATGCGTCATGACTTAATCTGACTGGGTAAACAACGATTGTCGCTGGGGGATTTGGCACCGTTCTCATTTTTTGATTTGCCATTTGCTTCGTTCAGGCTATCCTTGGTTGGTGATTTGGATTTGTGTTTGGGATTTGAAGCCCTGCTTCTTGTAGGGGGTAAATGGGAGACCACTCTGAGCCACCAAACCACCAATCCAAATCACCAACTGGAGGGAAACTGTCTTAAGCCTGGGCCCGGCCAGGCTGAGGCGCTCTCGGTCGAGAAGGCCACTGTCCAGCCGTCAGCCCAGACCGCAAGCAGACCTCGTGGTTTGTCATGTTCCCGTTTGCTTTTGGATGCTTTTAGAAAGTTTTAGCCCGTTTGCCCCCCCCCAGTTTCTTTCTTTCAGGCCATGTGCCATGTGCATCATTCTGGGCAGGGAGCGTGGGGACTTTCGCGCCGAGGCGGCTGGAAGCAAGAACGCAGCAGCTGCAGGGGCAGCCGGGGGCACAGGGGGCTCTGAGTGTCTGTTTTGGGCTTGTGCCAACTTTTGCGGAAGGCCAGAATTGAAGCTGAGGAATGAGCAGCTCCATGAGAAGCGCGACAGCCTGCCGGGGGTCCCGAAAAGTGGCCCCCTTCGACCATCTCAGCAATGCGGCGGTTCCCGTTTACGTTTTGGATCCCTTTTGCAGCCGATGTCAACAGCACTCCTGCGACGCTGGTTCATTTCCTGAAGTAAACACGAGCAAGCGGAGGGCCGGGTTTGGCTGGATTTTGCCGCCGTCAGCTGGGTTGGAACCTGGTGGCTGTACTTGTGAATGCTTTGTAGAAAGCCCACTTTTCAGCCTATGACTCATCATGCAAAGTTCTGAGCCGGTGTTGGTCCTAGTGGCTGAGCAGAGGGTACACGTAGGCCCGGAGATGGCCACGCAGCTCTCTGAGGTTCTCGCAACTCGAGGACTTGGAGAAGAAATTCGATCAGAGCAGCCAGGAGAGCATCCGACTCTCGATGCAATGGGGGTTTCGTTGGCTCGTGTCCGGAGGCTGGCCGCACCTGGTAAGGCGACTCACAGAGCCACAGTCAAAACCCGGGTAGATGAAGATTGGTAAGGGAGGGTCCGAACCATAAATGGGTGCAACCACCTTTTTAATTCTTTGCATGGTTCTGGTTTGACCTTTCTGGTACCAAGTTTCGATTGAGAGTGTTCCTTTTGAAGCATCCAATTGTAGCGGAATGCCGGCAATTTGTCGCCCTGCCATGCAGAGTCATTTGTTGCCCTGCCATGCAAAGTCATGCGTGGTTAGTATCATAGTATCAGGACTTCGCCCCGTTTGTTGAACACTGGGCTGGCTTCGGAGTGACGGGACGTCAGACCAACGATCAGAGCGGCAATTTGTGTCGCGATGCACATGCGATTGCTATCCAAATGTAAGGGAATTTTCTGCCCTGAACTGCGCTGAACTTAAACCCGCAAGCCACCTCTGAGGAAAGACTGCGAGCTTGGAATTGGAGCTGCACAGCTTGGCCCAGGAGAAGTCCGACCTGCAGAGCAGGCGTGGGAGAGACTCAGAGTGGCAAGGAGTTCCGAGGGAATGCCAGCGTTGGCAGGAAACCATGTCAGATAGCCTCAGGAATCGCAGCAAACCAGCCGGCACTAGTGTAGTTTCCCACGTCCGCGGAAGCCCTCGACAGCGTTTGCCTCATCAAAACCTCCGAAAGAAGCCTCTGCGCCGGCCCTGCGAAAGCCTCGCAGGGATTTGAAATTTCTCTTTGGCCGCTGGGTTCAGACCAGCGCGCATTCAGTGTCCAGCCCCTGTTCCTTTCAGCAAACTAGGTTGCTGCAAGGGCGGGCCAGGAGATGCCGCGGCAAAAAAGAAGACACCGCTCAATTGGTTCTTCTACAGGCCCAGCCCAGCACCGTCAACTCAAAAAAACCCTGTGGCCAGGCATGCCGCGAAAGTCCAGGAGGTGCAACAGCTGGAGGCGGAGCGGCAGCAGCTGAAGGTGGAGAGGCAGCAACTCACCTCGGAGATCGAGGCGTGAGGTCCTTGTTGAGTGCTTGGAGTGCAAGTTGGCTGTGTCTCTTTTTTTTCTTCTCCGGTTTGCTTGGTCTGTTTTGTTTTGTGTTGTATTTATTGATATTATTGAATTGTTGTTTGGTTCGTAATTGGTTCTTGTAGATTTGTTGGCGTTCAACAGGTGTTAACAGCTGAAAGGAGCCTGCACATTTGGGAGGCTTCCGTGGTGAATGGGAACCACGGATTTGTAAACGCTAGCTTGTTGATAGGGGGTGTCCCTGAAAAGGTGGGGTTCGGTACTTTTGGAGGGGAACACTCCCGCATTTTGTTGGACGCGTTTACCAATACCAGGGTCAACATTAGTAGACTTAAGTAGACGCTCCTGGTGCCACTCACGAAAGGTCATAGAAACCAGCCACCGGAAACTCCACAGGACATTGGCCTCATAATCACCCACAACCACAGGATTTCCTGTACATTTTCAAAATGTTGGTGGTTTGCTGGAGGGATTTCTTCCCCTTTGCGAGTTTTGGGGAGGCCACACGGCCCCCAAAGCGTTTGCCACCTGACCGTTGCGTGGGTCAGGAGCTGTCGAGCGCCACCGGCACCATGCGCGACGAGGCACAGCATCAGCGACAGGAGATGGAAGAGGCCTACAGCCGTCCCTCGGATTTGCTTCGGTCGCGGAGAAGTTTGTTTTGGGGGGAATTCGAAGATCGGATTTCCGTTTTTTGTTTTGTTTTTGAATTGGATCTTTTGGGGGGAATTCTGTTGGGCAACCCTCAAGATGTTTTTTTGGGGTGGAGTGATGTTAGGGAGAGATTTGGGTCTTTTTTGGGAATGGGACCCCCGGATTGGTTTCGGCTTTCCCTTTGCCTTTAAACGAGCAAGCAACAGGCACCCTCAAACGAAGACACACCCATTTACACTTCTAGAAACAAACTTTGTTTTGGGTGCAAACATGTAAGATGACAAACGCAAGCACCCAACCAACTGGGTGAATTGCCGCAACTCTGTCTACAAGGGTCGGTCACTAGCGAGAATGTGGGACCAGGGGGGGGGGGTTGAGTACATGAAGTTCCTCAGATGGGTGATGCGGGGAAATGGGGGAGTGTAACGTGTGCATCGTGTTCATGCACGTGTGCTTGTGCGCGTGCGTGCGTGCGCCTGTGCGTGCGCCTGTGCGTGTTCCTGTAGTGCACAGGGATTTCCCAATGACCTTGGAGCACCCCATTTTCGGGGGAGAACGTGCCAGAGTCAACGCAGTCAAAGTCCAGTGACCCGGTAAAACAGTGCCGACCGGCATGGCCGTTGAGCATCCAAAAAAAGGTTCCGAGCGCCTTCAAGACCGTCCCTACAAGGAGTCTTGACTATGGGCTAATCCAGGGCTTCCGTGAACGCTTCTGTAGACATCACCGCGTGCCGCTTTAACGGAAACGCGGGCACCATTGGCCTGCCCCCTCGCCTGGAGTGAGCGGGGCTGCTCAGCTCGGCTAAGGCCTCCAGGAGGAGCTGGAGATGCAGCGTGCGACATGTGCGACGCATTTGGCGGAGGTAAAGGCGAAGGAGGTGGAGCCTTGGCATTGTTTGTTTGGTTTCTTTCGGTTTGCGTTCCGTGCTTTCCAGGTCCCATACGCTCCCTTAAAGCTATAATGGGCTAAGCGGCTAGCTGGAGAGTTACAGGTTCCCCACAAGCATGCCACCTGAGACTTCGGCCACCATCGGGGATAAGTTAAATGGACGCCACACGCCGTGTGGAGCGATTCTTCAGCCCAATCAGGGCATGGCACGGAGCTTGCGTGGGCTGGCTTTGGGTAGGCTGAGATGGCACCTACCAAACAAAGACTCGAGGAGCTGCGGGCGGCCACAGCCCGGGCTGACGAGGTGCGGGTCCCGCAGGGGTCTGGCAGAGGAATTCCGGGTGTGGCAACTGGGGGCCATGGATTCATCCCACACACGGAGGGTGCCACACCATTTAAAAAAAAAAATCAGCTATCCAGAAGCGGGCATGTTTTTAAGGAGGGGGGGGGCATGCGGATAATGGGGCCGGGCTTGCCCATGGAAGAATGCAGAGTCTCGGCTGAAATGCCGTGCAATTGGATTGCGGGCTGGATGATGTACAATTCTGGCGACGTGCTTCCAGTTGAACTGGGCAGTACGGTGCAACAAGACAGCTAGCAATACTTTAGAAGGGTAGCTACGTTCCAATTTGTCAACAGAAATTGACCCGTTGGCAGATTGTATGCCTCAGACCCCAAGTCTGCAGTTCAATATAACAAGTTGTGAGGCAACATGGCATAGTTGAGGCAACCATGGTGAAGCCACTTTCTCGCGCAAGTCAAACAAGGTTGCAATCTGGCTGGGATCATGTATTAGTAGCAGCTCAGCTGCCTGTCAACATTCATGATGTCAATGATGCTAGTTGTGGTGATGCAATGCTGCAAACGGTGCTACGCGCGCCAGTGCCATTTTTGCTCCTCGGCCAAACTCGTGGAAGCTAATAGAATAATAGAAGGTTTCTGCAAACTTCAGGTCTTCTAACGGGCAGGGTCCCTCAGTAGGAGTTTAGGGATGGGGAAGCGCAGTGCATGATTCGGCATGGCCACCTGCTCCAGGCAGAAGCTGCAAGGGTCTCTTCTGTAGCCGCTGCAGAAGCGCGGCGTGCCGTAGCCGCAAATGGCGGCGATTGCAATCATGCCTCTCCCTTGCAGAAGCGGCAACTGCTGCAACGCCATGGCACACACACACACACTTTATACACATATAGATAGACATATATCTCTATATATATACACATGTGTACACACACACACATAGATATATACATATATATCTATTATATATATATATATATATATATGTACACATGCGTGCGTATGTGCATGCGCACGTGCATGCCTGCGTGCATGCCTGCCTGCCTGCCTGCCTGCCTGCGTGCGTGCGTGCGTGCGTGCGTGCGCGTGTGCGTGTGAGCGTGTGTGTGTGTGTGTGTGTGTGTGTGTGTGTGTGTGTGTGTGTGTGTGTGTGTGTGTGTGTGTGTGTGTGTGTGTGTGTGTGTGTGTGTGTGTGTGTGTGTGTGTGTGTGTGTGCGTGTGCGTGTGGCGTGTGCGTGTGCGTGTGCGTGTGCGTGTGCGTGTGCGTGTGCGTGTGCGTGTGCGTGTGCGTGTGCGTGTGCGTGTGCGTGTGCGCGTGTGCGTGCGCGTGCGTGCGTGCGTGCGTGCGTGCGTGCGTGCGTGCGTGCGTGCGTGCGTGCGTGCGTGCGTGCGTGCGTGCGTGCGTGTGTGAACCGTCCTGGAACACGGACGTTAAACCTGAGCAGGGGGACACAGCACTTCACTGGGACTGTGTCCAACGAAGCTACCAGTGAAGTGGGATATCCAGCTTGGCCAGCTGGACGTACCTGCCTTTCCTTGTTTTTCCTGACTGTTTTTCTGTCCTGTTCGCTGTTGCTTCCCGGTTTCTGTTCTGCATTGTGATCTGTCAAGCAATTTCAGCAGTTGCAGGTTTTTCCAACCTTTTCATCTCGGCTAGTGAAGCCTCTCGAGAGAAGTGTGTTTACCCACGGCCTGTCCGACATGGCGCTGTGGGCTGGACTCGCCATATGCGGGAGCCCCCTGCAAGGGGATGACGTTCAAAAGTTCACGTTCAGTTCAACCTCGCATTGCACTGCCTGCCTTTTGAACAAGGCAGCTCTCATGAGGTATCAGGCTCCGCAGCTTCATTCGCATTGCACTGCCTGCCTTTTGAACAAGGCAGCTCTCATAAGGTATCAGGCTCCGGAAGCTTCATGCGCAAGTGACAAGCCGGTCAGACACCGACTTTGCAGTTCATTGATTCACGCACTGCGCCGACTCAGATCAGTTCAATTCACGTTCACGATTAGGCAACACCTTGACTTGATTTGACGACTTGATTTGACGCCTTGACTTGATTTGACGCGATGTCTTGCCTTGACATGCATGACTGAATCTGCCACAGTCGTTTTTGTTTCCACCCCCTTTCCAACCCTCTCTCTCCCTTTTGAGATGGCTGGACACCAGCTCTATGACATGATGCACTCGCTCCTGCAAAGCATTGCGGCCGGCACCGTGTCCGGCTCACCTGGCAGCGGTGGACCGAACCTGCAGTTGTCACCCCAGATGATACAGCCCATGAGCCTCGCACCTCCACTATGGTGGCCTCCCGAACTTTGGCAACCCGATGTCCTTGATGCCCTACGGTGGCCTTCCTAACTTTGGCAACGCGACATCCGGCGCCCTGATGCCCCTCATGGCTCAGAACAGCATGCCGTCTTCATTGCCCGAGCCTCAGCCGGCACGCGCAGCCGCTGCAGCTGCTACGACTCCTGCCGCCGCTCCCTTGACCAACCTACATTCCACGGGCACTCGCCCCCAGTCCCACTCCCGCAGATCCCGCTCCCGCCACAGGCGACACCGCCACTCACACTCCCACACCAGCCATCACCGGGGACACGACAAGGCGCCACGGCGACACACCACCCGGCGAGCACACAGCTCCAACCGGTCACATTCCCCCTCACGGCCCCACCACCGCTCCAGGCGATCGCACCAGAACCCTATCTCCCTCCGCTCACGCTCCCCTCGACGCAGGTCCTCCCCACGACACTCCCCCGCACCCATGACCACGGCTCCACATCGAGCCCCGCAAACCCACACCTCCCAAGGTTCCACTTCCTGGCGCACTTCCGGATGGGACACCGACAAGTCTCAAAGGTCCTCTCCACGCTGGTGGAACCAATCATGGGGACACCAACCGCAGAGCCACAATGCAAGCAGCTGGGGCAAGCACCGCCACAGCACCAGCAACACAGGCAACTGGAGCAGTCAGGACAAGCAACAGTCCTGGCCACAGCAGCATCCTAGGCACCAGCCGCAACCCCCATCCCGCGCTGGCCACAACAACGCCAGCACACCCCCTTCCCCTGCACCTGTGCTTTCCCCACCCCTCCTCCCCACCCTGCTCCTCCCCGCCCCTCCCCCCAGCACCCCTTGGATGATGCTGAGGACCTGGATCGACGTGACCGGAGGCAGAGTCTGGCACAAACTCCGACAACCGGTGGCTTGATCTCTGGCGAAGCGTCATGGACACAGCCAAGACTGACCCAATGCAAGTTCCCACGCCTAGGGAGTTGGGGGAGTTGGACCCGCTTCCAGCCTTGGACATCTCCAGAATGGAACAGACCAAGACCATTTGAGGAGCCTGGACCCTGCCTTGCCACCGTCACATGCCGACCTCCTCGCAGAATGCTGGGAACTGCGAACCATGGACATGGATGAGCCCATAGCGTTCGACGCCAGCTTCTACCATCTCCTGGGACGGGAATCACATGGCATGGTGTTCGCAACCACTTGGTTTCCCCGACCACATCCCTGGCCGGTTGCTGGTGGGCAACCGGAAGCCGGATCCGGCACAGCTTCCCATCACGCTGTCATGTATGTTCACGGCACCACCCCGGATCGAATGCGCCGCATGTCCTTTGAGAACATGATCCGGCCTGCTGCATGGAGACCTGAGAACCATGACTACCCGAGCTTTGGATGCTATGCTCAGGCCACTCCCACAGCCTGCAACCCCGACACGTTAGGCCAGCTTTTGCAGAACTTCACCATCGGAAAGTCTCAGCTTGGAGCCATCGCTTTTGGGGAACTGCGCTCCGTCAATCAGCACAAGATCTTGGAGTCCGGGGGAAGCCACGAGGACCAGCACAACGTGCGGCGCCACTTTGCATGCCGCAGAGGCAAGAAATGGTGCATCCACTCCAAGTATGCCATGCTGAGAGGTGTCGCGCTGCAGCGCCCGGCGTAGCAGGGCGCGAACCGTACCATATTCCATTTGACCAGGAAAAGAACTGATGCACGGTTGTTCGCTTTGTTGCCTTTTCTGTGACCGATCGTTTGCCATGCGACCCTTCCTTTTGGTTGCCTTGGCCCCTTTCCCTTGTGTTTTCACATGGCTTTCCAACCCCCTCGAGGCTTGTTACCGATGCTCCATAGGCAAAACTTTCCACAACAACCTTCACCCGCTGCATCCAACCACCATGGCAACATGTACGGCAACAACACGGCCGGAACCCCGTGCGGGGCCCTGTTGGGACCTTGCTATGGATGCTCCTCTACGACCTGGGCACCACCAACTACACCTCCAACTCCATGCCAACCCCACGGCCACCCCACTTCCTCCCCCTCCTCCCGGCGGCGCTCTTTTTCCCCCTCCTCCCCCCGGCAACTTCACGCGCGGCCCCCCTCCCTCCACCGCCTCGAAGGCCACCACCCCTCCTGCTCTTCGCCCCCTCCACTCAGTCCCAACACCAGCAGAGTTCAACCCCGACGACGATCACTACGACACCACCCGCGTCGCAGGGTACGACCTGCCCAAGGTCATAACGCATACTGCGTTCACCCGGCAATTGGGCATTGAGGGACAAGACATCGCTCGAGTTTCCCTCCTCAACTTCCTGCACGAACAGTGGAACAGCTGGTGGTTGCGCCACCTCGCCCACGGAGGTGAGGTACACATCGTTGTCGCAAAGTCGATGCCGGAGTCAGTCTTCG